AGTTGTATGATGGGAAATAATTTGTCACCAAAAGATAAAGCGGAAGCACTTGATGCACTGGTAGATTGCGATGAGACATTATTATGAAATCAGAAATGTTCAGATTGAGCGAACGGAGGTGACATCATACTGCACTCTGATATTACATGACAATTCTCGAGAAGACATTAGGCTTGTGGCATTTACCCCATTCACTATACTCGCTAATTCTAGTATATTTGGCTTATGACTTACCTTGATCTCTATCATTTTTCTTTCCATGCTAGAATGTTCAGAAATATGTAAAACGTTAATCCTTTTATTATTTTATCGTCAAAATCCCCGAAATTTTATCGGTAGTCCATGAACAAATAATATTATACAATAGCTTACAAAATTTTTAATGACATTTATTATGCCTCTGAGACAGTGACAAAACACCAAGAAGCATCATTTGACGGAACATACACAATGATGTTACGAGTTGCATTGGACATCAGCTGGAAGAAACACCCAACAAAGAAACGATTGTATGGACACTTCCCTTCTATCTCAGTTTCGCTAAGAGAGAGAAGGCTTCGGATAGCTGGTCAATCCTGGAAAAGTAAGTCAAAACTTATGAGTTACACCGTCCTATGGAACCCATTGCGCGGCAAAAGATCGATTGGAAGATAACATCACATCTACATTGACAACTTTTAAATGACTCTGAATGATGTCTGGAGGACCTGCTAAAATCGCAGTCTGACAGTGATAGTTGGAAAGAACCAGCCAGGAGATTCCGAGAAGAATTCTTGACCTGTTGATGATGATTAATAAACTTTAATTATTCCCCATTTTAATACATTTTACCTCATTTTGAAAATGCAATATTCTTCTTATAAGTGCCGTGTACCTTAAAGATGATGGCGATCATGGATCTCCACGATTTCTTTTGTAGCTCTTAATAAGTCTTTTCGCTATATCTCCTAAACTTCGCACTTCTATCCATTTACTGAAGCTCGCAAGGTATGTTATACGTTCTTTTCTTTTGTCCTTACTGTCTTCAATCTGTTCTGTGAGAATCAATGTTTCAAAGCTCTCATCCTTCATATGCGCATTATAAATTCCAATTTTCTTTTCCTGGTGTTAAAGAGAAATGGTCTTTTTGCTTCCATTTTATCTAAAACTTTGTCACATGTTCAGTACATGGTATTCTCAGCATCCTTCTGTAAAATAACATTTCTGTTACTTCAAGCCTCCTTTTCAGTTGTAAGAGATAGTCCAGCCTTCATATAGGAGGACAAATATTAGGTAAAAGTTCAGTACTTTTTTCTTTGTTTCTAACGATTTTTTTCTGTTTCTTAATAGTTTGCTTAGCTTTTGGAATTGCATCTTTCCCTATTCCAATACATCTTTCGGTTTTATCGTTGCATTTTCTGTCAATAAATGAATCCTATTAGAATTTCTAATTATCGCAGGTTAAGGTTGAAAAGGTAAAGGTTGAATAGGTTCCGTGAAAAGACATATCTTTGTTTCACACCTCTTATAAAAAAGCCAAAACAAAAAAAAAAACATTTCAGTGTTGGATTTTCTGTCAATAAATGAACCCTATTAGGATTTCTAATTATCTCTGAATCGATTCACTGTAAAGGCTGAATATGTTCCATAAAAAGACACATCTTTGTCTCACACCCCTTTACAAAAGCAAAAAATAAAAAATAAAAATGCGATATTTCTTTACGAATAAAAGATTGAAGCAGTCTTGAAAAAACTCATGGTAGTGTAATTGTTCGCCGATGGGGGGTGTTCGAGCCCAGACAAAAACAGTATATAGAAAGCTGATCTGTAAAGTAAGAAAGTCTTCTCTCATTTGAGATAAAAAAGTAAACCTAAACCAGCCCCTCAAAAATCACCTAAACCCCTCAACATTTCGTTCTCCAACATCCGTGGCATTAGAACAAATTTCTGCAGTATGGAATCTTTCCTCACTGCAAACTGCCCGGATATTCTGGCTCTGTGTAAGACAAACATTGTCTCGTCTATTCCCTCCTCTGATCTCTCGATCCCCGACTATCCTCAGGAGAGACTCTCTAACCCACATGCACGGCCTTGGTGTCTATGTCAAGGACCATCACCCTCTAGCCAGAGAGTTGTCTCTCGAATCGCCAGACCATTTGTACATGTGTCTCCGACTATCTCTCCTCAATATCGTAAGCTATCTCTTCTTCCTCTATCTCTCTCCATCCTCTCAAGACTGTGGGATACTCGATAGCATATCTGACAGCATAGACAAGGCCCCCTCGCTCCACCCATTTGCTCACATATTCGTGTTTGGTGACTTTAACGCCCATAATACCAAGTGGCCCGAGAATGCTACTACTGACCGAGCTGGCATTCAAACATTTAACTTCTCAATTTCTCAATCCCTCACGCAGATAGTTGACTTCCCCACGCGTTTTGCCCTCGACCTGGCAGATAAGGTCTCCCTTCTCGATCAGTGTTTTACCTCCATCCCCGAATCTTGTAGCGCCACGCAGCTCTTGGTAACTCCGATCATGCTGTAGTATCTGTTAACATTTCCTTCAACTCCACACCCTTCAAAGAACCTCCCATCACTAGAACCTCGTTCTACTATCAACGAACGGATTGGGACTCGTTCCGTGACTTCCTCCGGGATGTCCCCTGGAATGTTGTCTTTACACTCCCTGTCCAAGAATGTGCTTCTGGGGTCTCATCCTGGGTTAAAGCAAGAATCGACGCTTTCATCCCGTCAAAGAAATTTATGGTCAAGTCGCACTCCTCCCCTTGGTTCTCCGCTGCTTGCTCAGCTGCCATTGCTCATAGGAACCACTTCTTTCACCTATTTCGTAGCGACATGTCGGACAGCAATAGACGTCTCTTTGCCTCCGCCCGTAACGAGTGTAAGCGTGTCCTCAACGAAGCTAAGTCAATATTTGCTGCTGGGATAAAGGGGCGTATTGCATCTCGCAAATTTGGCTCCAAAGATTATTGGCGGCTCTGCAAGAGCGTCCTGAACAATAGAAAACCCTCCATACTTCCTTTGTTCAAACAGTTCGAGGTCCCGACCTCCTCTACCGACAAGGCTGAATGCTTTGCTCGGAAATTCTCATTTAATTCAACGCTCGACTCCTCCGGTGTCCCCATACCATACTTCCCTCTAAGAATTGATGCCCTATTGAGCGGGTTACACATAACCCCGTCATTGGTATTGGGCATTATCTCCAATTTTGACCCCCCACAAGGCTAGTGGTGGAGATGGCATACCAGCCATTGTCTTGAAGAAATGCACGCCTGAGCTAGCGCCCGCCCTCTCTAAACTGTATAATTACTGCCTCAAGGAATCCTGTTTTCCTGACTGCTGGAAGTCCTCATCCATTGTTCCTGTCTAAGAACTCTGGAGACCCCTCTGACCCCTCTAATTACCGTCCTATTAGTCTCCTATCCCTCTTCGGCAAAAGTCTTCGAAGCCCTAATCAATGCCGAAGTGGTTAACCACCTTACATCTCATGATCTGCTCTCAGACAAGCAATATGGTTTCCGCTACGCCCAATCTACAACTGATGTGCTTACGGCCATCACTGAAACCGTCTACCAAGCCCTTCAAAATAACGGTGAGGCTCGTGTCGTGGCCCTAGACATCTCCAAGGCGTTTGATAGGGTTTGGCATGCCAGCCTTCTTCGCAAGCTCCAGGGTTATGGTATTACAGGTCGATTGTTTGACCTAATACAATCATTCCTGTCAAACCGCGAATTAAAGGTCGTTCTCAATGGATTCTCCTCCAGTTCCTATCCCACAAACGCAGGTGTTCCCCAAGGCTCCATCCTTGGCCCCACTCTATTCCTTATTTTCATCAACGACCTTCCTGACGCCATAGATTCCCAAGTTGGCATCTACACGGACGACACTACAATTCACTCCTGCCTCAAAAACAAATCTAGTGTCGGTGACAAAACTAACGTGGCCGTGCGTCTGGAAATGGACCTCCAATCGGTTGTTAATTGGGGCAAGAATTGACTGATCAACTTTAACGCCTCAAAAACTAAACTACTCTCTATTAATCACCATAGAGATCCTTCCCTGCCCCACCGCCCCATTAAAATGTCTGATAGTCAACTTCTTGAGAGCAGCTCCCTGCGTCTGCTCAGTCTCACGTTGACTGCTGACCTGAGATGGAACAAATACATTAAGTCAATTGCTTCGTCCACCGCGAGGAAAGTTGGCACTCTGTGTCGTGCCAGGAAATTTTTCCCCACGGAATCGATACTTCAAATATACAAATCAACCATTCGCCCTTGCATGTAGTATTGCTGCCATATATGGTCTGGGGCACCTTCTGTTTACCTCGAGTTCTTGACAATATCCAGAGACGGATATGTAATATAATTGGCCCTGATCTGGCATCGCGTTTACAGTCACTTCTCTCACAGACACGCCGTCGCCTCTCTCTCTGTTTTTCTACAAATACTTTCATGGTAGTGCTCCCGATGAGCTGCTTTCACTGGTTCCCAGACTTCATGAATTCAAGCGCCCTACGAGGCTGGCATCCCGCTCCCACCCTTTACACTGTAGAAACTTTTAAATGTAGCCGTCTCTTCTACTCCAATAGCTTCATACCTCGCACCTCTCGCCTGTGGAACACCCTTCCCTATTACTGTTTCCCTGAGAGCTATAATCTCTGACTATTCAAATGTAATGTCAATCGACATCTCCAGTTACCTTGATCTGTCAACTATCCCTCTCCTCATCCTTTCTTCTATCACTCCTATCTGCTCTTGCTCCTAATCTTCTGCAACCCCCTGCATCCTAGTGGCTTCACGCCTTGCTCAGGGCGTAATGCTTAGACAAAATAATAAATAAATAAAATTAGCGTAACACTTTCTTCCTACTCTTAATTTCTTGCTCTTCTAAACTTATTTAATATCAATAAGAAAAGCAATTTGGTATCAACTTGGTGAATGAGTCGCACATTCAATGTGTTTATATTGTATATTTGATGCGTGTTTTTTTTTTCCTGCAGGCTATGAAAGACTTTGTCGCTCGCCAGAAAATGGGTCGTTTGGCCACAGCTGAAGAAATCGCTCATTTGATTGTTTATTTAGCTTCTGACGAGGTAAGTCATTTGAAAAATGTGTTTGATTGTTGTACTCGTCCATGCATCAAATATTACTGCCATATATGGTCCGGTGCTCCTGCTATATATTTAACGTTTCTTGATAAACTCCCAAGAAGAATCAGCAATATTACTGGTCCTTTCCTGGCATCATGGTTTCAGTCACTTTTCCCCACCACCATAAAGTTGCTTCTCTGTGCGTATTCTATAAAGACTTTTAAGATGATTGTTCGGATGAGCTCTTCACTGTGATTATAAATACTCATTGGGGCTAGTTTTTAGAATTGTTTTTTTATTCCCCTCCTCCCACAGACAATGAATTGTAAATATGGGGACTAGTTAGTATTTTCATAGAGACAAAGAGGTATTATGGTGGATGTAGTAAGAAAGGTACGTATGAATGTGTTATCTTGGTGTAAGGAATATTGTTCGTACGATTGGGCCAGTGTTTGCGGCTAGCTAAGTTATAGTTAAGACAGAAGAAGACTGTCCTTACCCCAATCCCCTTTTCGGCCATGTGCCACATTTCTGTATTAAACAGAATAAATATCGCTCTTCACTATGATCCCTAGACTTCCTGAATATCAGCGCTGAACTACATTGGTGAGAAGGTCTCATCTGTTTGCAGTTGAATTTTAGCTTGTGGAACTCTCTTCCGGCTTCTTGCTATCCAATCAACTTTGATCTTCAAAAATTTGAATGCAATGTCAATTGTTATCTACTGTCATCCTGATCACTGTTATATTATCCTCGCTTCATCATAATGTTTCTGTGTTCTTATTATTTCGCATCCAGTAACGCCTTGCGTCATAGAGGCTTTAATGCCTTCGTTGGGGTAAATTGGATTAGAAAAAATAAGTTGATTTATTTAGCCAAGTGTTTTAAAAAACCTTTTCTCTCTTTTGCTTCGAAATGTAACTGCGTCAAGACAAGACTTGTCCTCGCTTTCTTTACTTTGCGACCATTTACTAGATATTAACAAATAATCACACACACACACACACATGCGCACGCGCACACACACACACACATGCGCACGCGCACACACACACATTTCGTAATAGCAAAGCCTTTAATGTTTTTCGACCTTTTCAGCTATCTGAGTACACATTAATATATTTTCTCTCTTTTATGAATCATGTTATTCATTATGTAAAAATATATAAAATTATCTCCGCATGTTGAAATTCATTCCTTTCAACCACAACCACATACAGGGCAGTTGCGTACGTACCCGCGAACATTCTGGGCAGGGGTACCCAAGCTTGATTGGGAGTACCGGACAGTGATGTGTGACCCTCCTATCTTATCAATATTTTCATTTTTCTACCTACATTTATATACGTCAAAAATTAAACTAGGCACAACTGACTATTAAAGAAGGAAACATTTTCGCCGATTTGCAAGTCATTTTCAGGTCTTTTTTTTTCTTTCCCAATCCGTAAATTTGTTTTGCTAATGCTGAGTCTCAAAAAAAAATAAAAAATAAAAAATAATGAACACTATACGAAATTCACTATTTTTATCCATAATATTGAATGTGTTAAAATTCTTTAACTTTTTAAGAAGAAAAATCTCAAGTTGATGTTAAAAATTGCCACAAAACATTATTTATATATTATGACATGTCTCTAATTTGTATTTAAATACATTGTATTTATTTTCAATTTTTCTAGTTGAATTGCATATGATCCATTATTGCACATAATTAGATTGCTATAATATTAGTATTTTATATGAATACTACCTTATGAAAATTGAGCTATAGTAGAGTGAAGAGCTAGTATCATCGATCTGGGGGTCATATCATAGATTTGTTGTTGGAGGCATAGAACCCTTAAACCTGTCCTAAGTTTTGCCGCAAATCTATGTCTCATGACATTAAAAGTCAATTCCTGTTGAAATAAATCCGAGATTATTGCTTTATTTTCCTCTTAAACCCAGACTCTATAGGGAATGAAAGTTTAAAGATATCTGCTTGATAAATCGTGATGTTAAGTGTTAAATAAGCAATTATGTTTACTAAATATTAAAGTCATTTTAATGTTTGTTTTTCCCTCCAAGTACGTGAATTTGTTTCGCTCATGTTAAGTTTCGAAAAAAAACATTATATAAAAAAAACACTATATAAAATTCACTCATTTTTATCCATAATGTTAATTGTGTTAAATTAGGGAAATTTTTAGCAAGAAAAATCTCTCAAGTTGATGTTAAAAACTGCTGTAAGACATTGATGATTTATTTAAGGTGGAATAATCTTTTATAACATGTCTCTAATATGTATTTAGATACATTGTATTTTTTTAATTATTTTTACAATTGAATTACATGCTACCTCATGAAAATTGACTGGGTACCCCGTATCATAGATTTGAGGGAGGGAAACGAGGCCCTTGCACCCGTCCTGACCTCATACGATTATTCAATTAAAAAAATGTAGACATATATTTCTCATTAGACATTCGGTGTCTTATGTGTGTTTAATTCTGGAAATGTTAATATAATTTATGATTGTATTAATAATAAGTTATATTATTATATCTATGTATTTTATGCTAAGTATGATAAATATTAGATGGTAAAGTGTGAAACAAGGATACATCATCTACAAATGTTTGTGTCTGACATTATTTGAGTATACATGGTATGGGTCATCGGTCTAACCTACTCCCCGTAATATGACAGAATAGAGAAGTATCACATGGTTTGAAATTACTGCTTGGTTTGAAATTTTAACTGCCATATGATACCAATGAAAATGTAAATTAAGTAGAGACAATATTCCTATAGTCCGCTTCAAACTACTCTCTTTAGGGCCACAGACTTGCATTTTTTTTTAAATCGGTGTCACCACAAGCAAGGGAGTAAAGACACAAGGGGTTACAAGGTGTTAGAGAATTAGGAACAGAAATATTAATAATGAGCAGAAAGAGAAAAGAGTAATCAGGAGGACAGTAGATAGCGATTGACATTGCATTTAAATTTTTGCAGACAAAAATCAGCCGAAAAACATGGGTGGAGCTGGTAGTGAGTTCCACAAGTGATAATCATGAGATAAAGAAACTGCTACCATAGCATTTACGGCTACATCTAGCCAGCTCAAATGCAAATTGATGAGATCTTGACGCCAGTCTAGTATTGCGCTTAAATTCGAAAAGTCTTGGTACCATAGCAAAGATCTCATCCGAACAATTACCATGCAAGTATTTGTAAACAAGGCCCAGAGGTTGGTAAGTGACTGAAGCCGAGCCGCCAGATCAGGACCAATAATATTGCTGATTCTTTCTTTTTATTTTAACAAGGAGCTCAAGGTAAATAGCAAGAGCTCTGGACCATATACAGCAGCAATATTCTAAGTATGGATGAATGGTAGACTTATACATATGCAAGATAGATTCCGGAGAGAAAAATTATCTCTCACGAGACAGTGAACCAATCTTCTTAGCAGCTGGCCTAGCAATGGATTCAATATAATCTTTCCACTTCGTGTCAGCTGAGAACGTTAGCCTGAGAAGGCGCAACTAGTCACTTTCCCGAAGGATATCATCAGCTATGATGATGGCAGTCTTTCAAATGATTAATTGAGAAAAGTTTAGTTTTGGAGGCGTTAAAATTAACAAGCCGTCTTTTGCCCCAGTTAACGACCGATTTGATGTCGTTTTAGACACCGGCTGCCATTTTGAACTTCTCTGACTTATCAGCGTTACTATTGAGGCAGGAGTAAATGGTTGTGTCGTCAGCGTAGGTGCCAGTTTGAGTGCAGATGTCATCGAGAATGTCGTTAATGAACCAAGGATGGAGCCCTGGTGGGTAGCCACGTTAGTAAGAAATGATCTAGACGAGTGGCCATTCTTCATTTAGCCGGAGATACCGTAACTTTTCAGCGTGTGGAAAAGACCTGAACGCCAGACCCTGTCAAAGGCTTTTGATGATGCCGCCCGGGCTTCACCGTTTTTATCTAGGGTATAGTAAACTCTTTCTGAAATTATCTTCAGTAGATCAGCAGTTGACATGCAGAGACGAAAGCCGTATTGTTTGTCTGAGAAAAGTCACTGTAAGGAGAGATGATGAACCAATTCAACATCGATTAGGACCTATAGGAAGTCCCCAAAAATATGTAGATGGCTACTAATTAATGACTAGGCTGAGAGTTAGATGTGTCCGACGGTTCACCAGAGTTCTTGAAACTGGAACGGTAGATAGGAAAAGAAGGAGGCAGCGTGGCGTTTATTGTACAGTTTAGAGAGAACAGGAACCAGCACGCGTCTCAATGACTATTACAGGGATACCATCGGGCCCACCATCGGGATCTATGTTAGAGATGATAGATATGCATACTATTTTCATTATTCGGGCTATTGTCCTCATCTTTGTCGCTATATTTATTACAACGTTTCGGCCGTTGTACGCTCCGGCATTCTTCAGGTGGTTGGAATTTCGAACCCTTTTTTCGCTCACTAGGGTAGACTGTTCTAGTTCCACGTGCCATGTTTTAATGGTTGTCAGTTGTCAGTTATCTCCTGTTAATTCCTCTATCTAAGTTCTCCATTGCCTTAACCGGGTCCACTGCCTTACTGAACTCACACTTTTTGGGTCCTGTCACTGGATCTAAATAACGCCTTTATCCACTGTGCCATGTGTCCTTGAGGACATATGTGTATGAATTTCTGGGTATTATAAACCTAATGTCTTCAGCAACCATTTTTTTATCAGTGCTCATATTGCAATTTTTTGCTGTTATCATTGCATATTTTTACCAGAGCTCATATTACATATTGCAGTCTAATGCAGATAGTGTACATAATACCTCATCTCAGAAATATATACAGACAGATATGCATATAACTTTATGGGTAGAGTTATATGCATATCACTCAACAGAGATTCAGTTCTAGGTGAGGAGTTAGGCATGGATATTCCGGATGAGCCAAAAGTAGAGGGGAATTTATGGACAAAGGGTTCTGCTTCATCAGCAGAGGATGGTAACACGTCCAAGTTGATTGAAGAGATGGGGATCCTTATTTAGTACTCTATTACAGAAACACCAGTAATCAAGAGGGCCAACGTTGTTAGAGGCTATGCCAGGCCTCATTCTCTCAGTAAACAGGGATTTATCTACTTCGAAAACTCGCTTACATTTATTATCAAGCACCAGTTTTGAGGAGAGCTGTCACCCTGGTATTGCCTCAAAAAGTTGTTCGTATGAGCTATAGCGGCCAAGCCTGCTGGTGTGAACCAATGAAAGCATTTAGGTTTCACCTGGTATTTCCGAGTAGGGATGAAAGAGTGCATGCCGGCTTTGAGACAAGAATAAAAATATCAATAGCGGCCACAGGTATCGCCATCAGTGTCATCTTTGCGTTCCCCTTCCTCTCGTTCACGGTCTAAACTATCCACCCATGTCAATGTGGACTTTAGCTTTATGAAAATTTCAGAAGTTGCTCGTCGAGGGAGAAAATTTACCTTGCTTAACTCACACTACCATCCGAGTAACTTCAGAGGAAATTGTCTGTCCACGTATATGAAGTTTCTTATTTTATTTTCTCTTTCTCTTCCCCCACCTCTCTCTCCCTCTCTCTCTCTCTTTCAGTCATTCTTACTCTCTCTTTCTCTATATCTCTTTTTCTTTCTCATTACTTCTCTATTTCTTTCCCTTTTTTTATTTCTCTCTCTCTTTCGCTTTATCCTTCTGTCTCACTTGGTTTGTCTCTATTTCTCTTTTCCTCTGTGTCTCTTTCTTTCTCTTTTTTCCCCTTCTCTCTCTCTCTCTTTCAATTTATCTCTCTGTATCTTTCTTTCCCCCTCTCTCTCTCTGTCTATCTTTTTGTATTCTGTATTGTCTTACAGCTTTGTAAAAAGAGTTTTTTACCTCTTTTTTTTTTCAAAAATAGTCCGCCTTTGTCACGGGCCAAGAATTCATAATAGATGGTGGTTGGAGTATGTAAAAAACTTGACGACGTCATCCCACAACAGAAAGAAGAATTACATTGTTATTCTGAGAACTTAGAAAGTAAATGTAAGAGATTTTCCTATAATAAAAGATAAACAAGTCTCTTTTCCATTTATGGTTACTGCAACGCCTTTATTCTGTTATTATTTCAAAATGATGATTTATATATAAACAAAAAAGCTATATTAATTAAATTCTAGTACATATTCATAAAATTATGTTCTGTTTCACATTATGTGACATGGATTAAATTTTAACTATTTAAGAAATTTCGCCATTATTTGTATTGTAGCACGAGTTATATACTGTACATTAAAATATTTGAAAATCTGGTTTATTTTTGTTCCTTGATTGTAGCTTTGATGATTAAATAAAATATTCAGCACTTCTGTATATTTTGATTTTATTTTTAAAATGGCAAAAATACGACTGAAAAACAAAAAATTGTTTATGGAGATGGTATTGTAAGTAATCAAACGCTTGAAAAATGGTTTGTAAAATTTTAATTTTGTTTGAATGATCACTTGATTTTTTTTCTTTGTCTCTTCCTCTCAGAGGTATCTACCATTGTTAATTTTCCATTTGATTTTTCTGTTGCTGTTTTATCTCTACTTCTCATAGGTAGCTTGGAGTTTAAAATTTCAATTTAATTTAAATTTCACGTTTGAATCATTCGTCTTTTTTATTTTCTTATTGTATTTTTTTTTTAACTCTGCTAAATTTGAGAAGTGCTGTTCTCTTCCAGTAAGAGATTTTATCACTTCCACCCTTACCCCCAAAGTCAAAAAATTGTCTGGAATCTCACAAAAAAAATGATTAATTACGCATAACACACTTAAAAAAGTCATGTGTGCCGATGATCGACACTTCGAATAAGTTCGTTGAATTAATTTTCAAAGATATTACTTAACTGAAAAGGCAAGTACAGGACACGATGCTCGAGTTTTCTTAGGTATTTTAATTCTTAAATCTTTCTTAATCTTTAAAACTGTTTTTAACGGGAATAGATACGCCTTCCTATCGCCAGTCCATACTCCTCCCCATTCTCTTGAACAGAAGCATCGGATCATCTCTTGTTTCGTATTTAGGAAGGGTTTTTCGATCCTTTCCTCCCCTGAGGTCTAAATAGTGGTACTGTCATGAATTTTTGGTGATATGCGTGGACGGTAGCTACGTCTCTTCTCATTGAGGGTACAAGGTTCGTAGTTTTCTGATTGCTGCTTCCGAGCGGTAGTTAGGAGAATGAACACTTGCGTAGCGTCTAGAGATGCTGTTCTGAATAACAGTCGCATAGTATCGGGGATTTTTCAGTGTCATGTCGCGCCTGAAATGGTGTCCGCGATGAATTGATGAGATCTCGATGTTAGTTTAGTACAGCGCTTAAATTCAAAAAGTCTTGGTACCATAGCAAAGATCTCATCCGAACAATTACCATGCAAGTATTTGTAAACAAGGCCCAGAGAGGCAACCTTATGGCGGTTGGTATGTGACTGAAGTCGAGCCGCCACATCAGGACCAATAATATTGCTGATTCGTCTTTTGACATGTGGAAATCATAGTGCGAGTAATAAATAAGAAAGGGAATGAGTATATGGGCGGACCGATACCTACAACAACCACACGTAAGAAGAAGGGATCACCCAAATTTGGAGAGATACTTAATTTTTACAAACCAAACAACAAAGAACTATTGTTCAATTCGATATAGTAATCGGGGAAACCACAAATGCCCAAACACCGTCAGCCCCCACTCCAGTCAGTTGGAGCCAAAGACGGCAAGAGACGCAAACGCGGACGAACACGCTACTGAACCCCAGGTGACCTGCAGCCAAGAGAATTCCCGACATTGAGCTCTGTTGCAAGAAATCCGTACCAATAAACAAAGTGTCAATAAAAAGATTTTAATGGGAAGAGTTAATTTTATTATACTAAGACCTACATAAAACCGAATCGAAAATTAACGCAAAGACTTTTTTTCGTTTTTATTTCGTCTGCAAAACATTTCTCTTTTTTTTTTCTTTTTTTTTTTCAACATAGCACATCTCGCCGTGGTCTGAGACAACACTATGATTACTAACATTGATCGATCTCTTCCAGCTCTGTGATCCATAAACGCTATTTAGGCGGAGAAATATGCGGACCAAAGTAGACAGCGGCCAAGGACCATTGACTCGTGACATTAAGAAACATCGTGGGATTGACCCTGCAATCAACTCATCATCCTATAATCCTGAGAAGCAAGACATCTTCTGGTATAGTCAGTGTGTAGCATATTCCAGATCGTCTGGTCACTACTGACAAGGACAACCCAGAATCGACCACCGGAGTAGCAGTGTTATAAGCATACAAAAAGTGATTATCTCTCTTTGGTCGAGATGAAGTTACGTGAGTCACGTGGGATGTACCGCTTAGTAACGTCACTTCGTATAATAATTAAAGTGAGCAGTCAACCAATTAAGACACACAAGTTGTTCATCATGCTCTAGCTTCTGTTCTGGCCAGCCAGTTGCCATGTGGTGTAGCTTACAAGCCTATGGCACGGTTTTCATGTGAAAATAAATCTCCACCACATATAGAAACTATCTCTGACCCACAGCTTTTAGTTTGGGAAAAATCCATAATTAAGCATTTTACTTGCTACTGATATGGCATTTAAATCTGGACAGATCTTATCTGGAATCCTAAATATGGCTTCTCCAGAAACACAGAAGAACACCTGACTGATACAATTCCAGGTGGGAAGACTCTACCTTTTCACCCACTTTAATTCTACTTGTTGTTATATACATGTTAGAGTTTATCCGTGTTGGACAAATGTAAATATGAATACTTAATTTTGTGTATGACTTACTGCATAAAACATTCTCTGAGAACAAAGCATTTTTGTCATTCCTTTTCTTCCAGTTATCCTCTTCCATCGATGAAATAAAGTGTTATTACATCCTGGATATAATAATGCCCATAATGGGTGAACGAGAACTGAGAGAATATTCTTTTCTTCCATAGTCACCCATTATCTGGTGATATTTCTGATATATGATATGATTAACCACCATTATGGTGATCAAACATAAACTGATACAGCTTTCAGCTAATTCTACTTTTGGTTTACGATTTGTTCCACATTTTATAAACTTCTGTTATGGCAAAAAAGAATCAATTTCCAAAGATTTCATTTTCAATGAAATAGTCTTTACTTGGCTGAGGCACTGGTTTTGCAAACATCAATAACAAGAAAAATGACAAGAAAATGACAAGAAAACTCACTGTAAACATATCAGAATATGTTCCAAGTTTTGTTTTTTTTTTTTTTAAAATAAGTATTGATCTTTTTGTTGTTTCAGCTGTTACAAAGTATCAACTTATCCATTTTTGGACTTCTTCATGCAAACAATTTTATTAAATGGTCAGGTCTTTTTTGTCAGGGTGTTGGTAAGCATAAACAAAAGGCTTTCAAAAATTAAAAAGAATTGGTTGACACTACTTGCTAAATACAATGAAGCAGTGATTCAGTGATTCATAGTTTATGGGTTATCAACCCTTTGGTGGTCAATTAAAGTGTAAACAAAGTTTGCATTGTAAAAATACTTCTATTTACATTGCTCGGACTATCATCCTCATCTTTGTGGCCATATTTATCACATTTGGCCGTTGTAAACTCCAGCCTTCTTCAGGGGGTTGGAATGTTGAACTGAACCCTTTATTTCGCTCGCTGGGGTAGACTGTTCTAGTTCCACGTGCCATGGATATCAGTTATCGGTTATCTTCTGTTAATTCCCCTCTCCAAGTTCTCCATCACCTTAAACGAGTATTAAACTCCCACTCTTTGGGTCCTGTCACTGGATCTAACTACTGCCTTTATTCACTGTGCCATGTGTCCAGGAGTTCAACATTCTAACCACCTGAAGAAGGCCAGGGCGTACAATGGACGAAATGTTGTGATAAACATGGCAACAAAGATGAGGATGATAGTCCAAGCAATGTAAATAGTGTACATATTACCTAATCTCAGAAATATAGAGAGATACTGAAAGGCCAAAATGTTGTAATAAATATGGCAAAAAAGATGATGACAATAGTCCAAATAATGTAAATAGTGTACATAATGCTTTATCTCAGAAATATAGACAGATACTGAAGGTCTAAAACGTTGTAATAAATATGGCAACAAAGATGAGGACAATAGTCCGAATAATGTAAATAGTGTACATAATACCTCATCTCAGAGATATAGATAGATACTGAAAGGCCGAAACGTTGTAATAAATATGGCAACAAAGATGAGGATAATAGTCCGAATAATGTAAATAGTGTACATAATACCTCATCTTAGAAATATAGACAGATACTGAAAGGCCGAAACGTTGTAATAAATATGGCAACAAAGATGAGGATAATAGTCTGAATAATGTAAATAGTGTACATAATACCTCATCTTAGAAATATAGACAGATACTGAAAGGCCGAAACGTTGTAATAAATATGGCAACAAAGATGAGGATAATAGTCTGAATAATGTAAATAGTGTACATAATACCTCATCTCAGAAATATAGACAGATACTCAAGAATAATTCTCATTGTAAGAATAATTCTAATTGTATTGTAATTTTAATTGTATTGCTAATTAATTATAATTGAAAGAATAATTCTAATTATGTTGTAAAATAATTCTAATTGTAAAATAATTCTAATTCTATTGTAAGAGTAATGCTAACTGTAAGAATAATTATAATTCTATTTTAAGAATAATTCTATTTGTAAAAATATATGTAATGCTATTGTAAAATAAGTCTAATTCCTAAAGCCAGTCTTTCTTGTGATACAATTTCTGGGAGAATGAAATTATGAAAACAAATCATAAGATACTTTACAGATTTCTTTTACATTTCATAGACCAGCTGCCATCCAAGGCTAGAAATCAAAACCTAACCTACTGTTCAACTGATAGCTAAAGGGATAAAAAACAGATTAATACCTTTCCTAAGGGCAATAG